ACTTCTTTTCATTTGTCTCCCTGGGTGCTTGTGGTCGGGTTCCCGGCTGGCTTGTCTCCGGACTTGTACTTCACTGTTACAAGTTCTTTACCCCTATTTCTAACCTAATGCATGCATAAGCGGGGGGTAAATTTACCCCCCAGAGTTGCCATAACCATAAGCCGGCTATTTCCTCAAGACACTCTACTCCTTATACCTTTTACCAGTGCTTATCCTACACTGCGGACGCCCTAGTGTATGCACAGTCCTTGTGATGCCAGAAATATCCAGAAATGCTTACCCCTCTTTCCGGCACAAGGCATACATAAGCGGTGGGTAAATTTAAAAATTCAACCACCAGAATTGCAATAACCATAAGCCGGCTATTTCCTCAAGACACTCTATATTCCATATACCCTTTACCCGTGCTTCTCCTACACTACGGACGCCCAGTGTATGTACAGTCCGTGTGATGTCAGAAATGCTTACCCCTCTTTTCGACTCAAGGCATACAAAAGCGGGGGGTAAATTTACCCCCCTTCGTGCCCGCCAACGAGTCCGCCCGTGTTGTTCCAATGTACCCTTCCCAGTCGGCGATGTCACATTTACATTCTTCAGCGCAAAGTGTGTACGTAGCAACCTTTCTCCCAAAACATGTAATCACTACATGCTTTGCCGACTATGTAACTAGTACATCCGGTGCAATTCGGCTAGCTTTCGACCTCCTCCCCTGGCCTTAAGTCATTTGTCTCCCAGGTCTGTCAATGGTGGTGTCCGCCCTTTTCCGTTGGCCATGCAACATTTCTCTTCATTTGTCTCCCAGGTCTGTCACTGCCGGCCCGCCCTTTTCCGCTGGTTCTATTCATCATTTGTCTCCCAGGTCTGTCACTTGCGGTGTCCGCCCTTTTCCGCTGGCGATGCAACATTTCTATTCATTTGTTTCCAAGGTTGGTCACTGTTGGTGTCCGCCCTTTTCCGCTGGCTTTTCTGCTGGCCATGTAGCATTTCTATTCATTTGTCTGCCACATCTGTCACTGCTGGTGTCCGCCCTTTTCCGCTGGCCATGTAGCATTTCTATTCATTTGTCTCCCAGGTCTGCCACTGCTGGTGTCCGCCCTTTTCCGCTGGCGATGCGACATTTCTATTCGTTTGTCTCCCAGGTCTGACTGGTGGTGTCCGCCCTTTTCCGCTGGCCATGCAGCATGTCTATTCATCTCCCAAGTCTGTCACTGCTGGTGTCCGTCCTTGTCCGTTGGCCATGCAGCATTTCTATTCATGTGTCTCCCAGGCCTGTCACTGGTGGTGTGCGCCTTTTTCCGCTGGCCATGTAGCATTTCTATTCATTTGTCTCCGAGGTCTGTCACTGCTGGTGTCCGCCCTTTTCCGCTGGCGATGCAACATTTCTATTTGTTTGTTTCCCAGGTCTGTCACTGGTGGTGTCCGCCCTTTTCCGCTGGCCATGCAGCATGTCTATTCATCTCCCAGGTCTGTCACTGCTGGTGTCCGCCCTTGTCCGTTGGCCATGCAGCATTTCTATTCATGTGTCCCAGGCCTGCCACTGGTGGTGCCCGCCCTTTTCCGCTGGCATTTCTATTCTTGCGTCCGCTGGTGTGTCCTTGTCTATTGGCCATGAAGCATTTCTATTCATTTGCCTCCCAGGTCCGTTACTGCTGGTGTCCGCCCTTTTCCGTTGGCCATGTAGCATTTCTATTCATGTGTCTCCCAGGTCTGTCACTGCTGGTGTCAGCCCTTTTCTGCTGGCGATGCAACGGTTCTATTCATGTGTGTTCCAGGTCTGTCACTGCTGGTGTCCGCCCTTTTCCGCTGGCCATGCAGCATTTCTATTCATTTGTTTCCCGTGTCTGTGACTGGTGCTGCCGCCCTTTTCCGCTGGCCATGTAGCATTTCTATTCATTTGTCTCCCATGTGATTTCTTCTGCGCTGGTGTTTTCTGCCCTGTCCGCTGGAACAGGTTCACCTGTGAAAGGTTCTTGCTCCTTTGAAAGGGGTGCGTGATTGTCTCCGGGATTGCATTCCTGCCACACTGTGTAACTCTCTCAGCTTTGTTTCCCTTTTCGGGCAAGCGTTGGATGAATGACCGGATTGGATTTCGGCGTTCAGTTGGGACGGAGGGCATACGTCAGGCACCAAAAACCAGTTTCATGTCACGTCCTTCGCTCCTCATGCTTTTATTTCTTGTCCTCACGTGGTCAGCTCCCCGCTGATTGAGCAGCATGACCAGCATCATGTTCGCACTTGAAGAATAATTCCCCAAAAGGTTTGCTGTTGGGGCTTGTCAATTCTTTCTTAAGATGTGTCCGCCCGCTCTGTACGCAATCCTTTGTCTCCCAGCTCTGGGCGTCGCAAGCTCTAGTTTCGGTTTGAAAAGCGCAAACTGTTTGGGGTCTACGGTGGTGTAATCCACTTGATTTTGCACGGAAGAAACGTTTTAGTAGACCCACCATTGCCCCGGTCACGGCGAGCAGACCCCCCTTCTGGGCACCAAGGTGAACTTTGGGATGACAAGTTCCACAAAGCTCACGCCCGAGCGCTTCCCACAGCTCTTGCTGTTGCATGCGCGGCCGATGGATGTCCAGCTCAAACGTGCCTCTTCTCCAAAACGGGCCGCAGGTAAGAGTAAGAGCCAAGTCCACCAGGATCATGAGATGGAATAGTCTTCAGGTGCTGTTGGCCAGCCATGGTTGTTTTGCACTGCTCTTGTGGTTGACCTGGTACGCAGTTGGGGGAAACAAGCTGGTTGGAGGTAGGTCAAAAACCACACACAGTCTCAACGACCAAGACCTAAATGCAGGCAATTGAAAAGAAGGATTTGACTGTAGCGCTCGCAGCGGAAGCTGGGCTCTCAGAAATTCCAAAGGGCCGTAGAGTTTTAGGACGGTTCCAGCCAGTAGCTTCTTGTGTGTGTCAGTGGCACCTTGCTATGCAGGCAGCTTCAACTTCAACAAGCTGCGTGCCTTCCTTTTCTCCCGAGCTCTGGCGGGGGTGGGTTTGGATTCAGACCAGTGGGTGGCCCCGGGCGTGGACCGCTTGTTCGACATGACCGAGCGGGAGATTCACGAGAAGTATCCCTTCCCCATCATGCCGGTGCACTTCCTGGATCGTGGACCTAAGGACCGAGACCCCGCGAGTCGTTCCATACCTTGAACATTGGAATTGGAGGGAGGTGCAGTATGATAGAGCTGTTGTCTTGAGGTCACAAGGGTAGCAAGGCTGGAGCTCGCTACAATCTCCAAACAGAAGAACAGATGAATCCAACAAAAACACGATGCCTCATTGGTTTGTTAAATCCAGCCAGGACTTGGGCGTTTGGTGGAGCCGGTACTGCCCGAATGATGTTTGTGGCTTTGTGCTGGCAATTTGCACCCCACGACTGACATAGATGACATAGCCCCGAACGACCACACGCCTGGTAGAATAGAACGGGCCTGTGTCAGTTTTGGCAGGGTGCATTAATGTTTGCTGCTTTGGTTGCGGAATGTAGTGATGACAAGTAGTTGCTTCACTTGTTTGTGTTTCTATGCTTTTTATTGGGCACTGGAGGTTGCGATTCGGATACATCATCAGAAGCTTTTGCTGTTCGGCACGCACCGACCTCGTCGGCGCATGTCTTTCAAAGGGGAAGTGTGAACCCCTCAGTACCGGGCCCAGGTGAAACAAGCCCCCCAGATGGTGCCCCACCACGTTGAGGGATTTGTTCGAATCCACCCAGGCCTAAAAGAGAAAAAAACGGTCTTTCATCGAAAAGACGAAGTGCTCACGTGCGAAACAGGTAGTCTCCAAACCATGCGCTGGGGCCATGCTCACCCGACATGGACCTATTGGGCGTTGCCCTTCCTCGGCCGCTGGCTGCGGCGGAACTTCCGCGACGAGACCCTGCCAGCCACGGGGAAGGCGATCGCATTGAGAGTGGTTGAGATCCCTGAGGATGAGGCACCCTGGGTGGCTCAAAGGATGGGAGTGACTTAGGAGAGCTAGCAGCCATGAGTGTTTTTGTATAGGTGTGTAAGGACTTGAGAGAGCGGGGTGGTCTGTGGCAGCTTTTCTTCCCGAGATGTAGACTAAGGGGAAGGTCTCCCCCAATCTCTGGTTCCGGGTTGCTTAGTTGAAACATCCGTCTCCAGCTAAGCCCGACGTGCAATAAATGCTCTGAGACCAGCTGAACATCACGTTCCATTGCCTTCATCCATCCTAGACAGCTTGCGCGCGCACACACACACATATACAGAGCATGACGAAGAGGAACGAGAGAGAGAGAGAGAGCGCATACTGAATTTTCTGCTTCGCCCTTTGAGGACTTGTTGAATGTGGGTCTATGGGAAGAAAAGGCCCACAAGCAGTGGTGCAAGTTTGACATCACCGACCCCTTGGAGTTTCAGTTTCTGTTCGATTGGAAGACGAAGTACGGCAACAGGCAGGGATCCATCCTGAGGTCAAGCATGTTCGCTCTAGGGAAAGTGGCCAGTGGGGCCCGGTGTTGGACTGCCAAAGCTGCCAGGCCTCAGGATTAAGTCAAATGGATGAAGTATCAGGTACCCATGATGCCACATGACTGTCAGGTGCTCAATGGGTGGACCTGGCTGTTCCAACATTTCGCCCGATCGCCGTTTCTACAAGCGGGGTGCAGCCAAGTTGTTCTACACGGCCCACCATGCGGTCAACCCAACGGACACGCATAAACAAGTTGATCGTAGCTGGGCCGGTCCATAGACTTGGCACATGTTTGAAACACTTTGAAGGTTTGTCCTTTGAAGATTGTTTTTGATCTTATGTAACTTATGTTATATATGTGTGTTTCTTTTCTCTGGAAACTTGCTGACCAAAGAGCTGTTGTGAAGTCTTTGAGCCGAGGCATCATGAAGAAATGGAAAGAAGGCACATGGCCGAGCTCCACCATCGTCTTCTGGAGATTGCTGAGAAGCTTTCATGTGTTCGAGTTTCATGAAGAAACCTTGGTTGGAGGTCATTGGGGGTAGCTGTTGACCGAACCTATCTATGATGATCCATGATGTATTGGCGTTATAGCTCTCGCGGCTCGTCAGTTCCTCAGCTCAACTCAGGTCTACGAGCGAAAGCTTTGGGTAGCCAGTGACTTGAAGAAAGCCCATCCTCAACTGGAATGCCTGGTGTGAAACCTGGACCTGCTACCAACCCATAAGACGTGAGCGCGTCTGGTGAAATGCTGATGACGTCTAGGTTTGTTTGGTGTTGAGTCTAGCTAGGTGGTCTTGGGCGGCTCAAAGGACCTTTGAAGAGCAGAGGTGAAGCCTGGCGTCGCAGAAAAACATTCTCTTCTTGAAGAATTCGGAATGGCATGATCCCTCATGTAAATCCTACCGGGTGTTTTTTTGTCCCACCTAGCCGACCTAGCCCCCAAGAGTCCAATCATCGTGCGAAGCGGGTTCCAGAACTTCTGTGCCAGAGTTCGCCTGTGCAATCATCACGTTGTGGTGTCAAACTGTTTCAAGAATATCACGCAACAATTGGATTCCGGATTATATATCCGGATTCCTTCTTAAAAGTCGTGCAAGATCATTCTTGCAGCCCTCCCCGGTAGGCACGTGCCAGTTGCCGCGCACTGCGAGCGGGGATGAGGCCATTCCGCACCTGGCGGGCTGGGAGGCCAAGAAAAAGAACGACCTGGCGAATCGGTCGATAGGGCCGATAGGGTGACCAGGTGGTTTGGGTCATTTTGGGAGTTTTGTTGAGTTTGGTTTCAAGGTTGCATGCTGTTTGCGTGACCTGCAAAAAGCTACTGCTCAGTGGCTTGGTCATGCAATAAAGGATTGCGGACGGGTTTGAGTAGAATGTAGACCAGCCAGCAGGAATTGTCCTTCTAGTAACCTTTCGGCTGCATGTCGGATGAGACACATCCACTTGGTGAAGGGTTATATAAACCTGGAGTGCATTGTGTCCATGGTGTTGTCAGCAAATATCAGCAAGAATACCTCAATTGCAACGTGAGCAGGCAGGTGTCGTGTGTTGAGCTGTGCGTCCGTCGATGATGTTCGAATGCTCCAGGCCCAAGCGGCTGTCAAGATCCGTTATATAAATTGACTGCTTCTTTTGCCAGATCAAGGTTGAGGTTGGGCTGCGCTGGCTCAACACTGTTGGTGGACTGCAGTCGGTCATGTGCTTCACTGTGTTGATTGGCTTATTGGGGAGCCATAATTAAAGTAAAAGAAATTATGTCGACCCTAGTGTTTTATGTGTCACTTGTTGTGAGAGGATCGACTCTGTAGAGAGAGAGGGATGGTGTTTTGAACGTCACGTGGGGTGCCATGGCGTGCTTTCGTTGGGCCACTCGAGTTGCGAGCAGCTCAGCCAATTCATGACCAATGGGTCCAGAACGTGAGCTATGTCTTCGGTCGGACAAGCATGGTCGTGGCATGTGGCAGTGTTCGATGGCGTGGCTTTAAAGGAATTCTTATGTATGTTGGTGATGTTTTTCCCTCCAACTTCCTTGACCCCTCGCGGCCCATGTCATAATTGGGAAGAGATGTTCGAGCCACATCATCAACATCTCTTTGTCGCTCACGCTGACGCGATCCCTCCTGTCCTGCTTCTGTTTGCTCCTTCGTGGTCTCCCAATTTGGGTTGCTCTTGTTTTTTGGGCCGGTTTTGGGCGGACAACACTTCCAACCCAGGGAAAAGGTTGTCAATTGGGAGTTACTTCCCCCTCGACCTGTCCATGGCGCCAAATCGCGCAGCTCCAAGTCTGCTGCCGAGCCGGTGCAGGCCATGCCCCCAAAACCAATGGGATATAGCGAATGTGGATGTTCGACAGGTTTTGGATAGCTTAGAAGGGCTGCGGATGTTTTTTTCTTGTTTTTTGTTGTTTGTGCGTTGTGTTTTTTGATGTTTATTGTGTTTTGGTTGTTTTCCTTTGTTTTTTTGTTGTTTGTTTCCTTTTCCCTGAACAGCACAGCTCTGTAGGCTGGCCACTCCCCAGCACAGGGCAAGGGCATGCGCAACCCTGGCCACTTGTGAGCTGCACAGCTCTGTAGGCTGGCCACTCACAGCAGCACAGGGCATGCGCAACCCTGGCCACTGTGAGCAGCACAGCTTTGTAAGCTCCAGCACGACAGCCGTAGAAGCAAGGGAAGTCAAAAGCCACAAAAGCCAAAAGCCAACAGAAGCCACCAAAAGCCAACAAAGAAGCCACCAAGAGCCAACAAAGAAGCAGAAGCAGAAAAAAACAAAAGCCACCAAAAGCCAAAAGCCACCAGAAAAAAATATAACTACAAACAAAAACATCAAAAACATACCCCTCCAAAGTCGTATGGGGTGGATGCTTCGGATTTCAAGTACTTGCTCATGACTCGACATGATCTTTCAACTCCCGCTCACCTTAGGGCTTTGCTGGCTCGCTCTCGCCCGGCAATGCATTTGTGGTGCAACGCTTGGAGACCGTAGCTGCGCGCCGCGAGGCTGGCCACAGACGAAGATAGAGGAGTTGAAATGGCGACGCCAAATGCAACAAGATGGGAAGTATGCTCACTGGATTTAATTGAAGACCGGGTCAGAAACGACCTGGCCAGTGTTTTAACAGGTTGATCCACATTGTGAACATGAAAACTAAGTACTGACTTCAAAAAGTCCTGAGGCCGCCGGCAATGCTCGGCAGCATGACAGCTGGACCCCAAATAATCACGCAGTGCACCATGAGTGCTCCCGAAAACGTCTCTTCCCATCATCCGGGTTGCAGGTCATCAGCGTTCAGCCAACCTGCCTCGGGAGGCTGCAGGAGCCCTGCAGAGGAAGGATGCAGTGCAAGAGGCTGTGGGGACAGTTCATGCTCGACAAACTGAAACACCTCGTACAGATCACGCAGATTCATACGGTGTATACACGTAAGTTATGGTGATTCATGTCAGGAAGCCTCACAAGAACGAAGGCAGCTGCGGCAGATGAGCAGACTTTCAGCCTGGGGTCGGGCCAAGGACTCACCGTACTGAGCTGTTTTGGAGCTCGCCAGACCCAGAAGCAGTGGCCCAGTCCCACCTCCAAGGGCACGGCCCTGAATTGGTTCCGGGGGGTTCTACAACATGTAACATGTGCCACGTGACGCAACCACATCTTTGATCAAGCTATGAGTGCCAGATGTGTGTTTGGAATCAGCTAGAAGACCCAGAGGCTTAGGCGGTTTGCCTCGTTGACTCACGCCTCATTGAGAGGACGACTCGCGAAGAGCCCCGGTTCGTGCTGGCCAGGTGTTTTGGCTGAAACGTTCCACTCCTCCTTCCAAATTTGACAGGGTTTCAAGCTAGTGTATTTATGCCAAATGCCAACTAAGAGAAGCTGATTCTTTGGACTAGTCGCGTAAATGAATGTTCTATTTCACTGCATTGGTGTCGATTCTGTTCTGCCTCCATATGGGTTTGGAGGACTATAGTGGCAAATCCTGAGCGCGGTTCTTGTGATCTTGGCACCAGGTAGCCCCTGAAAGTTTCCAAATGCATGTGGGCAAGTGGTTTTGTTGCTTCCGTTTCTATATGCATGGTGCAAGACACTGCACTGCACTGCACACAGTCCTTCCAAAAAACAAGCCACACGGCAATGCACGGTCCGTGCCTAGACACACAGATAGCTTTGTGCCGTGGCAACTCAAAGCGAACATGTCCAACAGACAAACCCGCAAAGTTTTTTAAGAGGGGTACAGCCATGTCGATCTCCATCGCTGTGGCGCTGCTCAGTGGAAGAAGCAGAGTAATCACTGCACACCCGGATTCCACAGTGGATGACCTCCGGCTACAAGCTCAACTGAGTTTGAAAGTGGGCTTAGAGAGGTTGGTCACTGAAACAGGCGAGGTTGGGAAAGAAAGATCATGGTTTTGCCAACCAACCCTTAGTGCCTTAGTAGTACCCGGAGCTAGCAACTTGTCGGGTGATCGGGCGCTTTTGTTTGGCAAAGAATTGCCACATCAATGTTGAACTGTATAGCAGTAGCAGGCAGTAGCAGCCAAGAACTGAAAAGCCAACTCAGCCTTGGGGTTAGTGGCAATCCTGTGAGGTGTGATCCTGCAGGGCAAGTCGACTTTGCGAGCCTGGGCCAGTCAAGTGTTCTTGAAACCGCCAAAGGGGGAAGCAAGAGACCCCGTTTTGACTTGCAAACGTTACAATTTCTTTACACACTCTTTCATCAAAGTCGAGTCAGTATCAATGACATGCACGTCGAGCAATTTGTTTCAGATTAAATTGCATTCGGCTTGGGTGTTCCCAGATGTTCTTTTTGTTCTGCTGGGCTTTGTTCCCCACCTTGGAGCTTGTATTCTAGTGGTCTTAGCTCATTCTTTGGTGTTTTATCTCGGACGATTGGCTGAACACCGCAAACACAGATCCCGGAAACACTCAGCCAAGGAGCCTCGCATGTGCAGAGTGGCGCGACGTTGACGGCTCATGTGCGCCAATCGCAACTGGTGTCATCAGCCTTGGCGTTTGCACTCCTACGGTCAGATGGCACAGTAGTTTCGTGGGGCAATGCTGTCGACGGAGGCGACAGCAGTGCCGTGCAGGATGAGCTGAAAGATGCTTGCCATTAAAAGCCAACGCTACTTGTGACATTGTTTTTTTCAATTGCGCTTTTCTGTGGGAAGCTTTGTTTATGTTTGTTGGTGGCTAGCTTCATGCTGTGACCCGTTGCAAACTGAGGATGTGAACCAGATCCAGTCGACCTTGCACGCCTTCGCGGCAATCAGATCAGATGGTTCGGTGGTTGCCTGGGGCAAGATGGACGATGGCGGACTGGTGCCCTCAGCCGTGGGTGCCGAGCTGGTGAACGTCACTGCCATCCAGGCTTCCAGCAGGGCTTTCGCAGCAATAAAAGCAGATGGTTCAGTTGTGACCTGGGGAAACCCCAGTGACTGGGTTGCAGTTTGAGTCTTTGGGAGGCTGCATGCCACAGGAAAGCCAATAGGTGTAGCGGTGGAGAAACTAGACCAACATTTGTTCTGCTGGCAGGTCATGTGGGTGAACCGAGCGGCCAGCAACCTTCCCCGTTTTGCTGAACATGTTTAGAACTTTTGTGGCAAAACTTTTCACCCATCGACAGTGGCGGGCACATTGTCCTAATGTACGAAAGGCTATTGACTTGCACCTGGAGATATATTTTGGGTGTATGTAGGTAGATGGATAGATGGATGGATAGATGGATCGATTGATAGATAGATAGATAGACAGATGGATGGATGGATGGATGAATGGATAGATGGATATAGATAGATAGATAGATAGATAGACAGAGAGATAGATAGATAGATAGGTAGATAGATAGATAGATAGATGCGTGTGTGTTTGTGTGTTTTATGTTCAAGCTCACATCTTGAAGCTCGTGCAAAATTCTAGGAAACCAATCTGGAATTCCATTAACTGCTATTGTTACCGCTGCAAAGTGTTGCACCCTCCAGTTGCAAGGAAGTCAACTGTGATCAGAGTTGGGAACCCCTTAGGAACCCGTTTGGAACCCCACATGCACATGTTGCTGGGACTGAAGGATATGGTGGCGACTGCCGTGCCCAGAAGGAGCACTTAAAGGAGGTCACCCAAATCCAGGCCTCACGCGACACGTTTGGCGCCTCCTTCGCAGCGGTCCGGGCCGATGGCCGTGTGGTTACCTGGGGCGTCGCTGACGCCGGAGGTGACAGCAGTGCCGTGCAGGAGCAGCTTCGGCAGGTGCAACGAATTCAGGCAACCCGCTTTGGGGGCTCCTACGCAGCCATCCGTGCAGATGGGACGGTAGTAACCTGGGGCAACCGGGCCTCAGGGGGTGATAGCAGTGGGGTGCAGGCCCAGCTGTATGAGGTGGAGCACATCCAAGCCACGGAGAGCGCGTTCGCAGCCATTCGGAAGGATGGATGTGTAGTGACTTGGGGGAATCCCCATGATGGCGGAGACAGCACGGAAGTCCAAGATCAACTCATGGATGTGACGCACGTTCAGGCGACCTCACATGCCTTCGCTGCAATTAGAGCGGATGGCAGTGTCGTGACTTGGGGGAGTGAAAGCTGCGGAGGTGATAGCAGTGAAGTGCAAGAAGACTTAGAGTTGTTCAGCAATGGTTGTCTTTATTTACTTTTTTTTGTGTGTTTGTCGCTTCTCCATGCTAGAGCTACTTGGTGGGTTGGACTTGTGCGCGGTCCGAGGAATCTTTTCACAAAACACCAACTCAAAGTGGCAATTGACACGTGGGGAGTCGCCAAAGTCAAAAGCGAGGTGTCCTTTTCGGTTGTTTTACCACCAGGTGCTACCTCTGACTGCAATTTGATCCGTCTTCCCCGCGACCTTTTACACGACGCACTATGCGGGTGGAAGCACCCGCATCCAAATCCAAGGATCAGCTCTATGGTGTGACGATGATCCAAGCTGCCTCGTTGGCTTTTGCCGCCATCCGACGTGATGGATCCGTTGTAACCTGGGGCACTCCGGACGCGGGCGGCGACAGCCGGCACGTGCAGGAGCAGCTGAAGAACGTCACCGGCATCCAAGTGCCTCGTCTCATCTCGGCTTCCTGAGCTCCGGAAGCAAAGAGACCGAGAGTTGGTGGCTTTTGATGGTTGTTGCATTTCACTAAGCTATTCTGGCTGAACTGCTTTGTGAAAGCACGAGAGAGGAATGCAGTTGGGCCCAAATGAAGGGAGCAATGAGGTTTGAATGTATTTCATCAGGAGGGCTCTCCAGCAATGCAGTGCTCAATACATTCCAATCGAAACTTTGTGTCAAAACTTGATTCGGCCAAGCAAATGCCCATGCCGCCTTAAAGGGCCTCGAGGCCAACGCAACGTGGGAACTGTCAGAGTTAAGTGAAGAGGCCATGAGAACATGACCCATCATGACCCTCTTTGCAGAAGCGGGTGAACAGCGATTCTTTCCATCCGCAATTGAAACATGATCATTGGAAAGAATCGATGTTTCAATTGCCACCATGATCATGAACACGTGTTTCCATGAACATGATCATGTTTCTGTTTCCAACATGAACATCGAGATGGGAATTACTAACATCCCACCTCTGTGAAATGCCAAGGCTTCCCGCGAAGGTGTCCGCTGTGCATTTGCTGCTTTACGAGCAGATGGTTCGGTAGTAACCTGGGGTGACCCCAGCAGCGGGGGCTACTGCAGGATGGTGGGAGATCAACTCTTTGATGTCCAAGAGCCTTGGGTTTAAGCCAACCTCTCTATAAATATATATATATACACATATATATATATTTGCATTTATGCATATACGTATATGCGGTGCCCAAGAAGACGACCACCTATCATTGTAGGACAAAAGGTGCCTATGTCAATGTCCGATCCCTTCAACGCTCTGCGTTCGATTCGTTACTCTGCAGCATCAAAGGACCCCCCCCAATCTCATTGGCCACTTCGCTTCGACGCGCGGGCCGAAGCGCGGGCGACCTGCGTCGCGCGCGCATCGAATTCCTAAGGAGATCCAGGGGACGGAGAATTGCTTCGCAGCGATCCGAGGGGACGGCGGAGTGGTGACATGGGGCAACGGTGACTTCGCACCCGACGGCCCCACGGCTGAGGAGCTTTTGCAGGATGTGCAACAGGTGGGGGGTGATGACAGGTGTGGTGCCCTGAGGGCATGTGTGATAGTATGTTATAGCTTAGTATGTTATAGTCAGTTGTAAAGTTTCTTTTGAATTTGGCGGATTTTGTGACAGCCTCCTCCCAAACTCGCCCAGATGCTGAGCGTGGACCCTCCTTGCCCAGCAGGTGCCCACTTCCACCATCGGCTTTGATGGCTCGGTGGTCACCTGGGGCCGGCCGCTTTCGCCTGAAGGCTAGCTGTCGCTTAAGTGCTGTGGCGGCTCCAGAACCGGCCACAGGATTTCAACTGGCCAGGTAGAAGTTGCGTTCAGATACCAATAATAATTCAGTCAATAAGCAACTGCTTAAAGAACAACGCGTTTCGACCACAAACTACATTGACCACGAAAATTGGAACGTTAAATTTGCTTCGACCACATGCCAATGTCAACTAGGACATGTTGGACCCAAATAACATCCATCAAAACTACAGTACTGTAATCCATGCCGGTATTGAGAAGCTTCTGCCAGGGTTCTGGGGACTGGCCAGCATGCAGCTCATGCCGGAAGGTGCTCCTTCAAGGGGATAGGAGTGCTGGAAGGCTGCTTCACTATGTTTCACTACTATTTGCTGCAGCGCATTGCGTTTGGTGTTGCGAAAACGAGTGGAGATGGCAATGGGATTGTCATCAGGTTCTCGTGCAGTCCTTTGCTTCACGCGTGTAGGGTTTTCAGGTTTTGGAGCAATCCGGTCCATCAACAGTTGGCCCTGCGGCCAAGGAGTTCCCGAAATCTTGATTATCTCAAAGGTTCGAAGAGGCTGCTCTTCAACCTTTGTTTCTCTTATGTTTCCCCAGCGTTCTCGCCCACAGAATCACTTCTAACAACATGAGCGGAGTGTGAGGACAACGACATGAAGGCAGAACTGATGCTCAATCCCACCAGAGCCCTTCCTTGGCCGAGGACTTTCCACCCTTTGCCGTTTGCCGTTTGCACCAGAGCATCGACGCACGATGGATTGCCTCGTGACAGCCTGGAGGGCATGGCAGGCCTCGTTCAGGGAGTGGCTCGGTTTGACCCAGGCTTTGGCACCACACCAGGAACGGGCGATGCTACAGAAAGAAAACATATTGTTTTCTATGCTGGTTGGTTCCAGGATGTTCCAGGTGATTTCGGGGAACTTTACAGCGAATCTTCAAGTTACTGCTTCGGACCAGCTCACAGAATAGCATTTTGCCAAGTCAGCCACTAACATAATCTCAACATGCCATTTTATCCACCTTTTGCCGGCTTCCTCCACGAATCAATCATGATAGATTGAGCCCTAGTTCACCGAGCGACGTCATCAGCAGCCTTCCAAATGTCGGCTGCAGGTGGTCTCTTCCGCCGCACTTCCTTCGAGGGACGCCCAACCACAGGCGACCCACGTGCCGCAGGCGTGCGCAGCGCATTTAGCCCCTGCTGTATTGACTTCACCCCTGGAACCTGACTCGCAAAGGCATGTTCACCCTGATTCGTACTACGTCTCGATCTAAAACCGCTGTCAAACGTTTATTGTGTTGTTGTTTTGATACCACGTCCCTCCAGTTTGCTGCCTTCCGCGGCTGGCGCCGGCAGGGCCAAATGCGCCCACACTTCTCCAGAAAGAGGAAGCAGCTGAAGAGCAACTCGGCAGCAGGTCAGCCATTTTCACTTGAGAGGTTTGAAAGAGCAGCCACGTTTACCATCCAACGGCTCTTTACACCGTCTGTCTATTCTTGCACAAGGCGCTGGTAAAACGCTTTGTTTCTTCTGAAAGGGTACTTGTTGATGGTGGAAACGCCTTGGGCCACTTCTTCCCGTGTCGCAATGGCATGCGCTTCCTTGATTCGAACGGCACTGTCTCCTAAGATAGGGGATTCAAGAAGGGTCACTCGGGCGCCCCTCAGGCCCTTGGGTGACAGAGCGCGCCATGGAGATTTCCTTGGCAGTATTGACTCAGGAGGGGAAGTGATCAAGAGAGCACAGATCTCCGATCTTGCACGCTGGCAGGAACCCAGCAGACCTAGCAGCTAGCTAGCCCAGCAAGTAGCGGCAGCTCCAGGCAATGACTTCCCCCAGGCCCAGAGCTGGCACAGAAAAAGTTGTCCTAAAAATCATCCTAAAAATCATGTTTGGGGAGATGGATCCAAGATGACAAAAGCACACAAAAGCTCCTTGTTGGGCCATACGCCGTACTGCCTGCCGACATTCACAGATTGAGAACCTTTGCGAATCTTGAGTGAAAGTGTGGGCGTTTTGATATCACATGGTGTCACCATTTCTGAAACTCCACAACTCCTTTGACTTGTAGGCTTTGTTCCGCTTTGTTCGCTGTTTCGGGCACAAGTACGGCCCAATTTATATATAGCCGCGGCTTGCACCACCATGATCGAGCACTTCCTCGAAGAGGTGGAGAGCGAGCACAGCGAGCCCAACAGCGAGCCCAGCGAGCTAAAGGGTGAGAAGAGTAGTGCTTTGCAATCCTTCTTGCGAAGGCATGGCTTCATGAGTATCTACAGTGCTCGCCAGGCGAACTGTCAGGTCGTTCGAATGGATGCTCGGCCGATGTTTGGGTTTGCATTTGGATAGGGAGGCATCCAACCAATGGCATTTGGATAGGGAGGCATCCAACCAATGGGGGGGGCCTCTGGGAGGTCTACCTATTTTAAATTTGATACTCTGATACACACCCCATACATTTTCACAGTGGGTCATGGTGATTCTGGAAGTGGGGCGGGTTGATTGGCCGTCCTTTTGCTTCATGTGCTGTTTCATGTTCAGGCGCGGCACGGGCAAAGGCAACGTCTCCAGGTCATGCCCTTTCTTTTTCTTCCAATCACCTCACCATTGCCAGCAGTGCGAGGAACGAATTTATCCCATTCACGTTGCAGCACAGCTTGGCGACCTTAAGATTGTCAAGATGCTGTTGGAAGATGGGGCAGATCCACTTCAGGTCCGCCACTTTGGGATTCTAAGATGACAGGTGCCGGGACGTTCCATTTCGTCCATGCTGGGTGGCCTTCAGAAGTGGTTTGTGAGCTATAAATAGCCAGCTACATATAGTTAAGGACGCTTGGGCTGCAGCACCATGCAGCCTTTGTTGGACAAGGCCTCTATCCTGCAGCCACATGAAATTGAAAACATGCACCTGCCACCAGTGGTGTCAGGTTCCCAAAACGACCGCAGTTCACTTCGCTACTAAGAGTTCGCACGCATTCGTGGGATATGAAGCAGGGTAGCGGGACCCTACCCGGTCTGAGCCAGACGTCACAGACCTGATGTCACCTGATGTCCTTCATTTTCGCCTCACAAAGCCCAGTGGAGTTTTGTGCTCACTGTTCAGTGATTGGGGGGCATGGGGGGTGAGTTCAACCCATCATGACACCCCATTCTGTTCATGGCATGGCCGTGCCAGGAGTGCTTCGATGGTCGCAATGCCGTGGACTTTGCCCGTAACGCTGACGTGAATGGCTCCCATCAAGAGGTCATGGAGTTGCTGGAAATGGGTCTAACTTCGATCTCATTTTAGAGCCTTCAGGCCAGACTGCACCCTTCTGACAGCGTTGCATTTATATAAGCTTCCTTTGCCCTGAAAAGTGTTTGCTTCATGTAGTGCCAGAGCATGGCATCTCAGATGAACCACGGCCGATGTGCCAGAGCATCCCAGATGTTCTGAACCGTCAATGATCTGCATACGAAAATGCTTGCCCAAACAGCACGTATTGGTAGGTGCACTTTGTGGGTGGACTGGAGGAATGCCGTGCCAGACGGCACGCTTCAATCGTCAGGTTGTTTCTGATTTATGATGTTCAATTAACATCAATTAACCATTCGTTCCAAAAAGGCACCTCAGCCTTTGCCGGGGCTCATCTAAGCCCCTTTGCCAAGGGTGGCCCCTTTGGCAGGTGGACTTCTGTGAGCAAGCTTGCGTGAACGGAGGCCATAGGTGATCAAGCGATCATCAAAGTGAGTCACCGCTATTGAGACTTGGGCTGAACTCAGAGAGATGATCAGGAATTAGATTGTTTTATGGTCTTGATGCGGTGCCTTCACCAAGCGGAGTGCCATTCAAGAGTTTGTGTGGCAGCAGTAGGTGTGATTTTGGCTCAACTAATGAAATGGCCATACAGTTGGCCATACCTCTTTCATGCTGGCCCTGTTTGATGTTTTAGCTTTGCGGCACCCATTAAGTTTGCTCATAGCATGGCCTGGAAGATGTGGCATTGACAAGCACAAAGTCATGGAGTCATAGAGATCTTCCCCTCAATGATTGAGCCATTCTCACAAGCATGGAAGAGTGGTTGCCTGAGAGCGCAAGCACTTCTCTTGTAAGCGGATGATCCGTTCAGTTTCTTGTAGCGCTGGCGAAGCGGGTCTGGTGTGACAGGCGTCAGGGCACTGGAGAAGAACCTGTGCAGCACTTTGTGCACTGTCTTCCTTCAACATTCAACAGCTAAGTTATTGTCAGCAGAGCGCTGTCTCAAAAACAGCAAGTTTGCGATAGTGTTCACCTGTGTTCAGATCTTTCGATTTTTTGACATGTTCCGATCTCCAAGTTCCGATGAGTTCTTATCCAGAATCCAGAGCGCTCGGTCACCGTAGCCTGCTTTTCTACGACACTGCGAGTTATCAAGAGATGATCGAAGAAGTCACCGCTATTCATGATACAGATGTCCTCAGAACAATTACCTGGCAGGTAGATATGCACGCCCAGGGTGTTCGGTGTTGTCCTGTTGTGAAGCGGTGTACTCCTGTTCAATGCCACTCAGACAGCCCGTTAGAATACAACGGCAATTATTCTCCGGATGTGGAAAATATTCTTCAAAATTGTGTGGAAGAGCGGTTGCAACCAAGAGTGCGACCATTCCTTCTGCAACCGACAGCCGTGGCTGCAAGGGCGCTTGGGTGGCTTTCGGCAACAAAAATCACAACCGATTGATTTAGGTAGGGAAGCGACGAGTTTTTGGCATTCTTGCAGCCAACGACTTGAGCGAGCAAACTTGTGCATACGTTTAAAGCCCTGGATATGAGTTGTCCAGCAAAGCTACGGCTGATGGAACAAACGTTGTGCCACTTCAAACCCCGAGGCATTGTGAATGGCAGGGCTCCCTATCTCAAGTGATGCGGGAATTGTTCCTTCGACGGCAGTGGTTTTGCAGTCTTGCGCATTTCAAGACGTTGCTCACCCGCTGTTCTGTTTGACTCTTACCCAGGGTGCTTGGTAGCCGCCGTAGCCCATTTTCTTGGACACTGCGGATGATTGAGAGATCATGAAAGATGGACACCGCCAAAAATTATCCATGATGTTCATGACTCATGACGGCCAATGGACATTGTGCCCAGGTTACTTGCTTTTGTTCTGTCGTGAAGCGGTGCACTCCTATTCAGCGCCACTCAAGCAATTTCTTGGTGTGGTGCATGCTTTCCTGAAGAAAGTTCATGCAACCCTCCAGAAGTCAACCCAAAAATCTACATTCATTTATGCCTACTTGTGGTGTTCGTATGGCCTTATGGGAAATCTCAAGGTATGGTCCACTTTGGGGGGGTCACGTTTCCAAAAAGGATTCGTGTTCCAATCTCTATAATTCCTATGATTATGACAATAAGTCCACCCAAGAAAAGAAGTTTGCAAATCAGAGTACGGAGGAGCCAAGGAGTGGTTGCTGCAACAAACAGGTGCAGCCTATGTTATTCTCCGAAGTTGGTCAGAATAGCCGCACCCCTGCGAGAACTTTTGGATAGACTTTTCAAAGCAGGACAGCATGTTCATGTTTAGCCTAGTTGCTTTTGTGTTCTTTTGCTCTCAAGGGCCACGTTTGGCAAGCGCCAAGACTTGGCAAGAGAGCCGAAGAACAAAACAACATATTTCCCGTCTAACTTTGACAAATTTGACTTGCCAGTATGATCCTGATTGTGTTTGTTTGTGTGTGTGAGTGGGGGTGTTTCTATTTGCCAGTGTTGCACGCACGCACGCGCCTGTAGCGAGAATCTTCGACCGCTTAGCTAGACAAAATGCGTCAGTCTGATTGACGGACTCTTGCGTTGCTCAGATTGATGGAAAACGTTGGTCCACGATGCTGCGCGGATAGTCATGGAGGTTGCAACATGGGCTAGGCAGACTGCATGAATGTACTGTAGCAGTTAAATCACAAGTGTTAAATCACAAGTTGCCATGCCAGAGAAGACCTTCCTTGAAGTTTGGTCGGGTGGTTGGCTTTGACAAGAAAAGTTGTTTCTTTGTTCGCAGTATGAGATCCCGGAGATGATTTTGCCCAGGAGGACTGGCAATCTGCTGCGTGCTTACAAGTTGGAAAGACATTTGCAGTGTTGGTGCAACCTTCGGGAGACGCCTGCAGCAGCTTTCCTGGCAGGCTCCAGCTTGCTTGCCGCAAGCTTGCCCATGGTCCATACAAATAACGCCGTTCATTGATTCGTTTTTATGGCAAGCCAACCTCCTTGGAAACACCTCTGAACTCACAAGCGAGCAGTTTTTTCTTGTGGTTTGAAATGTTTCAGCAGCTGGATGCTAGATTGCTTCACGCCGTGGGACATGCTAGTAAGTAGGTGCATGAGTAGTCACTCAGCAGCCTTGCCAGGCCAAGGAGCAACCCAGTGAGTGAGTGGGTGCAGGAAGTTTGACTGGTGCAATGTCCCAGTCTCACTTGCCTGCGATCAGTGACCCCCCCTTGTGAGAAAGGCCGCTTGCCTTGCGCGAACATCGGTGGAGGGTGGAATACAAGCCAGCTCGTTTGATCAAGTGCATGCAAACCTTCACGACCGGGCTTTACTCAGATGAAAAGTGATGCACAGTAGGGCATAGATCACGTTGTTTAGGTTACAAGGTTGCTTGATGTTGTTTGGTTATATATATATATATGGGGGAAGGCATCAAACCTCTAACCCCTGTCCCAAGTGCAGATGTGGACGGTGAAAGGAGCTGCTCGCTCTTAGGTCACCGTCCACCGGAGCGGTGCCACTCATCGATGGAGGGTGCGGGCCCACTGGGCGCAGTCCACTGTGTTGAAGTTGAAGAACTTGTCCAATGAATCTAGTACTTGTTAAAGGCCTATGCAAGTCTCAGACCTGGGCTTGTGCAACATGTGTGGAAAGTTCATGTTTGCAAAACTGATGAGCCTGACAGGGAGTCACAAGATGTCCCCAGGACTCCAGGCAAGTGTTCAACTAAAGTCATTCAAATGTTCACGTCAAAAAGATGGTTGGTTGGTCACAGCACGAATGGGTCACCATACACAGGCTGGATGAAAGACATTTGGAGTCTTATTCGAGCTTGGATCCTGCTCCTCCATTGAGAGCGCTGTTTGACAGTCACCGGAAGCCGCCATCAAGATTGGGGAAGCCATTGCGCCCGTGGGGAGAGCTCGGAGAGCTGAAAGGCCTTAGAGGCAGAGACTGACAGGGGTTCCAGGCAGTTCCTGGCTCCAATGCTGTTCAAATTGTATACATCATTGTCGGTCGTACATCATGTGGCCACGTTGAAGTCGCCATGTTTGGCAACCTTGTAGATGCGAGGGTTGTCGGCAATTGCACGCTTGTGTAAGGGGTTGGGATAAGTTTGAAGGTGAATCAACTCCAAGAAACATTCTTGCAAGACTGCAAGGTGTAGTCCGTCAATCATTCCATAGCGATCCTAGGCTGGAAGCATTGCCTTGTCACCAAGCTGTACCGCCGGTCCACAGGTGTGCCCGGCCCTCCCACCAGTGTGCCAGTGCGCGAATTCCTGGCATTCTCAAAGTGAATCAGGAACAGTGAAACCAGTCTACAACGAAGGAACGAAGGGTTGTTTCGCTTGAGCCACGTGGAGTAGTGCCTACAGTACTTTGTCCAGAGTTGCCGCCAATATCCGGTGACAATGGCAACCGTAAGTTGTTCGGTTATCATGAGATTCCGTGTTGAGATTGTGGTGTCCAAGTTATGCTCATCTGGCACAAGAGTCATTCAAAGAAGCTGCTTGCTCAAGTGCACCGGCTTGGAAGCTGGTCAGCACAGATGTACTTGGTCCAAATCGGCAAAATCAAATCTCGAACTCTTCCAACTTAGAACATCACAATGAAATGGAACGCCATGTCATGAGCAAACGGTCAAAGTCTTTGAACCGTTGAGCCAGCGGTTGATATGGGCAGTAGAAGGACGTGATGACTGCATACTCAGGGGCTTGGTCCCAATGATGAAGGAGACTGTTTGCAATGGACGGATGTGACATGTGTTACAATGCTGACCACCAACCGCCTGGCTGTACTGGAGGATGTTGGTGCTAGCCCCAGCGAATGCACAAAGTATGAAGCATCGGCCGAGTCCTTGATGTATTTGGATAATTTTGGATATGTATGTAAGTATACATATATATATATATATATATGTATGTGTATATATGGATATTTGACCTTTGACTGCGAACATCCAGCGGAAGATTATACCCTGGGTTGACGGTCAGAAGATTGCTGCTTCTTTGTCATAAGCCTGCCGTCTACGGAGTCTACGTGCAAGAGGGTCTCTCAGTTTCATGGCATAAAGTCCGAGGCCCTTGTCCCCCAAGCCCTTGTCCCCCACAACCGCTCTTCCCACCAGCATCGCGCTCCATGGAATTTGGTCATCAAAGCCACACAGGTCGGATGGCCATCATCCACGAGGAGATTCCCATACCGAGATCTGGAGAGGTTTTGGTCCGAGTCACCCATGCCGGGCTTTGTGGCTCGGATCTGCAGCTCGGCAAGTTCATCCGTCCAACCAAGTGGGGACTAGTTGGCCTAGTTCATCCGATTTCTGTGTCTCAAGAACCCTCCCAGCAATCCAGCATGTTGACACACGCGGGCAGTCACACGTGGGCGGTTTCTTGATGTTTCTGTTTGTTGGCTCGTTGGCTCTCCAGAACTGCAGATCACACTTTGTGTGCACTGCAGTCATTCCGGTCCGGGATAGTCGTGAGAGTGAAAGCGCAAAGGGTGGTGTGTCCAAACAGGCAAATTCATCCCAGTTGAACCTGGCCTTCGGAAGCTAAGTGTTCAGGGATTTGGGATTGACAAGTGTGTGTGTGTGTGTGAGTAGATTTGCGATGTTGGGGTACGCTCTGTTTGTTTGGGTTTTCTGGTGTGACTGAAGGTGTGCACAAGGCCTACACAACCTACACGAGTGTTTCTTCCCGCGGTGATGCAACAGAAGGATCAGTTGAGCTGCTGAGGCATTACTTTCGACATGGTGGTTTGGGGACCTTCAAGGTTGATTTGCCCATGTACATGGGACATGAGCCAGTGGCCTGGAGGAAACAAGGGCTTGGTTCCAAGAAGCCCGCCAAATGACAGATAGGAAGGAATGCCATAAGAATGCTCTTGGAGCTCAAGGAACTGAGAGATGGACAGAAGAAAGAGGGAAAGAAAGATAGACAGACAAAAGAAAGAAAGAAAGAAAAACGAATTGTGAATATGTCCTGTGCTCGAAGTTCAGAGGTTCCTTGCCGGTTGTTTCTCCATTGCTGTAGAGTGCGGCTACTTCGCCACTAGGCCGGCCACATTGCCGATCCTAATGGCTGTGAGGGCTGGGCAGTGGGTGACCCTGTGGCGGTGGTGCCCAATTGCCCCTGCCTCTCTTCCAGAATGTCGATGCAAGGTTCGCGCGGGCCTGTCCCGGCAGAAGGGAGAAACACACGGGCAATGTTGCATAACAGGGTCAAGACAGGGCAAAGAATCGTGCGTTTGTGGGCAAACTAGCCACGAGCACTGGTGATGCTCCTAGAAAAAGCTGCGGCTATGATTAGATTATGACCGGATGAGTCACTTGGTGTATTGTCAACACCTTCGTTCTCATGACAGCTTTTGGGAGGTTCCATCCATCCAATCATTGATTTGTCTAGTCAATTTCACCACATCATGACGAGTCATGAGACATACTTTTTTGGCATGATCCGCACCAATTCATTCATCATGTTCCTGCAATGTGCCGACAGAGACTGAGAGGCAAGCAGCACCTTTGTGAAGAGGGCACCTTCATGGGAGCAGGCGGCACCAGAGGATGTTTTGCAGACTTCGCTCCTTTGCTGACTAGTCAGGTGCAATCGCAACTCTTTTGTGGCAGGCAAGTGTTTCTGGGGGCAGGTGGAACAACACAAACACACTGGGGTGCACATAGTGTGCCCCGCTCGAACTCGAACTCGAACTCGAACTCGAACTGAAACAGTTATACAGTATTGATGAACTTAACCTTGAAAGGATATGGAAGGAACCGAACTCGAACTCGAACTCGAACTCGATCTCGAACTCGATCTCGAACTCGAACTGGAACTGTTAGAAGTCAACCCAGTGGACGAATAGAAAGAGTCGAACTCCAAAATCGCTGTCGTCGATTCGAATTCGAATTCGAACTCGAACTCGAACTGGTCCCCCCCCCGGTGTCAAAATTGTCGTCGATTCGAAATTTGATCTCGAACTCGAACTGCGTTTCCCCCCTCCGGGCGTCAAAATTGTCGTCGATTGGAATTCGAACTCAAACTCGAACTAGTTCCCCCCCCGGAGTGAAAAAATTATCGTCGATTCGAAGTCGAATTCGAACTAATGCTGCGTTGTAATGGCTCCTTCCTATTCTAAATTTCACCTTCAAATGGCCCATAACAGGAATGCTACAGTGTAATATAATGGCTCCTTCCGGCTGTAAATTTTACCCTCGGGTGGCCCACAAAAGGCATGCTACGTTGCAATGGCTTCTTCCTTTTCTAAATTTTACTTTCGAATGGCCCATCAAAGGAATGCTACGTTGTAAATCGTTGTAATGGCTCCTTCCTACTCTAAAATTTACCATCGTGTGGCTCACAAAAAGAAATGCTTCGTTGTAATGGCTCCTTCCTGCTCTAAATTTTACCCTCGGGTGGCCCACAAAAGGCACGCTACGTTGCAATGGCTTCTTCCTTTTCTAAATTTTACCCACAAAAGGAATGCTACGTTGCAATGGCTTTTTCCTACTCTAAACTGTATCTGTGGCCCACAAAAGGCATGCCACGTTGCAATAGGCTTCTTCCTATTCTAAATTTTAACCTCGGATGGCCCACAAAAGGGATGCTACGTTGTGGTCAGATGGTTGGTTGCTGCTGGCGCCGCTGGCAGGTGGCTGTTGGTTGGTTGGTTAGCAGGGTTTGTTTTGCGGCAGGGAGTTCACACTAAAATGTTGATTTCGTGGCAGGCGCGGGTTTTGGAGAGGAAGTGCAGATTTCGTGGCGCGGGGGGGGTTGGGGGGGGCGCAGCGC